CGATATCTGATATGTATCTGATATATCTCTCTCCCGGAATGCCGAGACGACGAATCGAGTTCCGGTCATTTTGGTCTCGATATGTAAAATATAATACAGGTATGTATGGTGTGTTCTAAACATTCGAACACTGTAGGAAACGTTGCAAATATGGTAAGAGTACCTGCTGCCACTAAGAGCACAAGGGAAAATGTAAGGTAGCGAAAGAACGCCAGACTGACTAGAGATGTTTTCGAAATTTTTCGGAATTAAAGTTGTAGTCGGATTACATGAGTAACATGTTTGCAATTTCTCGAGATTGAAGGCTACTATTTATTTAATTTGTTCGTAAGTGCCTATCTGGGCTATCTGCACAAGTAGACAAAACCAGAATTCTCTTGCAAAAATCAAAGGGTGTCATTACAATTTGTGTCCTGACATATTTTTGTTTCGACTTTTGCACCGCTTAGAATTTCAAAGCTGTCAAATTTCATCGGCGTTTGATCTGCTTATGAGATCAATCGGCATAGTTAGCCGATGGACTCAAACTCCAGTTGCCAGGATTCATCGTACGTCTTTTCATAGTTTTAAAATCCTCGAGTTTCGCAATTAAAAAAAAAGTGAATGCCTTCCTGATAAATTTTAGTCAGTTCAATAACAAGCTGGTGGCAGCTGTAACGACAAATGGCGTTGAACACTCGGTTTCCTTTCACTGCGTTACATTTCCCTGGATGCTAAAAGATACTTTTAGTACATTTCCATTGTCTTTCCAGGCGTTCCGATGTTTAGAGCATACCAGTAACTGTTTCATTTTTTCCAAATCAGGGCTGAAATACCCGCAGCCACTACGTTGTGGTCAATAACAGCGTAACATCAATAGTGATAAAAAGGAGGGCTCGTTCACCGCGTTTCGTGTACCAAATCTCTGGAGAAAGTGCACGAATTCTTTCAGAGTGTAAGCGTGTTGTTTTGTAAATATAACACTGTAACTTGTTTATGTGTCTTTTTAAGCGACACGATATTTCTGTAATGATCAGAGTGCCAAATTTTATTCTTTAATTTTGATATTCTCCACACTGTGCGGGGTTCATGAGCTGATCTTTCAACGTGAATTATAGGGAAGGCGCCTTCCGATCACTTGGTAAGTCACGCAAGCGTTGCTACCGACACGTTTTAGCAACATTTTAGGACAACTCGGTATCTGTTCTCCGTTCAGTTGTTATGAAAACCTAAAATACTCGACGTAGAAGATAAACGAACGAAGTTTGAACGATCAAAAGGAGAAAGGAAAAACTTGGTCAATTTTCTGAATTATGCAAATGATCTCTAACACGAGCGCAATTGAGCAAACACATGGATTTGCGTTGTTTTTAAGATGTTGATGAATGAGAGATAGAGATCTACCGGCGAGTTTGAGGCAATCGGTGACCTCAATGGTATATCAACCAAGCACCAATATGATTTTTTAGTCCGATTAACGTCTGCATTTTGAGAATTATTTCGTACAAATTTGCACGTGCCAACAGAGAGCCAGGCTGATTAATGGTGTCAAACAGGACGCCTTTAATTTGCAGTACTTGACTAAGTTTGGGGAAAGAAACATCCTGTACGGACAGTTCACGTGAACTAAGAATCGTTCTTTTATTGGGTTAATATTAATCGTTTAACTGTGACCATTCCAAGGTGTTAATGTTCCCACCGGTAACATTTATCAATTAAATAAAAATAGACTGAGCAATCTTTTTTTGTTATGATAACTTATTAATGTTTGTTTGGTGCCGGCGACCTTACTACCCACTCCTTATGGCAAATTTATTGTAAAAAATGCCATAAATAGCACGGCAGCGCCGTGTCATGGTTTGGAAGCTCTCATAGTCAAACGTAATTTCAAATCTCATTTGTTCTATAATTATTTCTACTGTGTTTTTATTCAAGCAGAAGTAAAAACTGCATATTTTAAGGAACTTAGAAAAATGCTTTGCGTGTTTTCAAACAGAAATAGTCCTAGCGGGGGTAAAAAAACCAAAAACAATAAATCAACTGACCAGATTATTACTGACAACATGACAGAAAAGATAAAAAAAAACAAAAAACAAGCTTACGTACTTTTAGTGTGAATCAGACCGATTAATATTCTATTTGTTATCGGGATCATGACAGCACTTTGTTAATTAAAATGTTGTCATTTGCCAAAACGGCGCCTCTTAGAAAAATCGGTTGTCATGCACTCAACTGCCCTTTTGCAATTGCTCACAAAACCCAACCAAAATGTGGTTGATATTGTTCGCGGATATGCATGTCTTTCGCACTAACTGGACCCTAATCAACATTTCTCACTTAAATCGATTGCCATCAGTCACTACCTTTTTTTTAACCTCTCTTGAGTCCATTGTTATATGATAGAATTGAAAATTACATTTGATTTGACCAACCTAACCCAATTACTGAGCAACTGGGTGAGAAATTCCAATTGAAAAAAATATGCACAAAACGCTTTTCTAAAGTAAAAAATATAAATTCCGTGGACAAATAGGAGCTCAAGAAACTATGTACTCTCGTCAAATGCACAAAGGAGCAAGCAAACAAACAAACCAGCTAAACAAAAACGGAAGTGATATTACAGTGCTTAACTTTTGTTATCAGACTTTGTTCGGAAAAAATTCCAGCAATATTTGCGCAACGCGAATACGAAATGAAATTAACAAGAGGAATCAATGAATTGGAAAGCTTCTGATTACATATTTTATCTGCTTCGCGTGATCTTGATATCGGCACCCGCATCGGAAAGTCATTAGGGAGTTAATGAGAAATAACGGCGGTGCGCCGTGGACAAGGTCAGTTACAAAATAAATATTTTACTTAAGAATCTCGCGATACTCTTAGGTAATAAGCTGGCTGCACATTCCATGTGCAGCACGTCAATTTGCTTAAGTAATTCAAGCCAATGTTTAAAGCCTCGCGGCGGCATGAGGTGTGGCTACCGTATCTTTTCTGTTTTAGTTCATTTCCGTTTTAGATCCATTTTCCGGTTTTACGTTAAGTTACATGTCACGTGGCGATATCTGGGGGATTGCACGTGCTTTGACATTTTGGGAGAGAGTTTTACTTTCGTTCAGCTGTTTTGGTTTGCATAACAGTTCTTTAACGTGATTGTGATCGTGATGGCATCTTGTAACGGTACAAACGGATTGAAAGCGAAAGCTGAACATTCCTAGACATCCGCTGATCTCTACAAAGAAATTGAGAAGGTTCCCCTCGAACTAAATATAGAACACAGCGTCGAACTGAAAAAATTAGCCGTGGTCGTTCATGTTCGCCAGACGACGCAAAGTTTGGTCATTTCAGGTTGATGTTTTGCAGAGGACGCGAAGAAATTTACTAAGATTTAGAACGAACTTGCGAAGCCATTAATTGTTCAGCTGCTCCTTGAACCTTCTGAACAGGAACGTTCCATTGCCGCTGGATACGTGTTTTATCAGTGATGATAATTTTTATTATTATTATTATTATTATTTTGAACAGCGATGCTGTTTCATCATTACCAGTAATATTTACCTTAAGTAAGTGGCTGATTAGAATAAATATCGATCAAACAAAAAAGGATAAACTCAAATACAAAAACTATGACTCACTTGGAGAGGAATCAAACATGGAGGGATTTGAAGTATTTCCGTTCTCGCAAAATTGCATGTTAATTATGACCTAGCTTGTCTGAGCAGAGGTCACTCATGACAGAGAAGAATAGCGATGTCTTAAAACAATTTGAAGTGATCTCGGATATATCTGCTGTTTAACACCCGAAAGCTTTTACAAACTTTTCATTTTAAAGAGAGCAAACAAATTTAGAGAACGGTGAAAAGACTGGGATCGTATCGCTTCGATTACACCAAATTACTTGACACCCACTTGTCACACGCCGTCCCAGAGGAATTGATAAGTGCGCATCGATGCTTGCCAATTACGTTGGTGCGAATAAAATGAACATCGATGGGAACGGGATACAAACATTGTAGAACAATATTAAAATACCATCAACCCAACAACACTTTCAGGCCTTCAATTAAAAAACGGCAATGAATTAACCAATCGTTAATTACCGCCCGATAACGAAGTTTCCATGCCTTTCAGTAGTTCACAATGAAACACCCACAACTCCTACTTTCCAAAACAAGAAATATTCAACGTAACTAAAGACAGTTTCCACTTACCGACGATGCCGTAACTGACACGAGTAGAAGCACTATAATGATGTATTCACACCTCGGTCCTAACATGTTGATTCCTCTCGGACAGCCGCAAAAAGTTAAAAAGAAGACGTAGACGAGTATCAATCCGCCGAATGTGCGTCTGTATGTGCTCCTCGCAAGAGTACCGAAGCGTTCGTTCGCCTTCAGATTTAATCGGACTTTCCTTCGATGTGCATGTTGGGATAGGGGTTTCCCCCTTCCTGCGCTTCCTGCGCTTCCTGCGCCCCACCACCACCACATTTGAAACGGGGAAATCCCCTATCCCAACATGCACATCGAAGTCTCGTATCGATAGTTGCTACACACCATTAAATTACCTTATGTGCATAATCTGCTCAAGCCCTCTATAGTACTGGTAACTAGTTTTGTCAAGAACCCATCATATGGGCGCCTGGTTTTGTTCAGGCAGCAAGCATTGGGTGGAATCGAGTACAGTGAAACATGTGGACATTTTATTTATTTAGAACATTAATTAGATGTGGACGTTTTACTTTGTTTAGAACATTAATTAGATGTGGATGTCTTACTTTATTTAGAACATTCATCAGAACTAAATTAAAAATATGCCTCTTGATTTACTACTTCGATTCCGGGGTTCTCTCTAATATAGCTTAGATATCATATTGGCTCTTTTGAAGCACTTCCGTAATAGTGCTTCCGTTTGAAGCACTTGTCCTCAACAAGCACAGAGCTCGCGCTTGTGGACGATCCCGAGGACGATATCGCCGATGCCAGTGTGCCAGGTGTCATGCATTTTACATGTAATTTGAAACATAACAAATTTTGCGTTTGCTTGCAGAAGCTTGACAGTTTCAGTGCCCATTTTTGTATCCCCTCTTGTGTCAGCAGTTTAGTATTAATTAAATCTTCAAAGTTTAGGAAATTCAATTTTTCCTTTTCAGGTACTGAATACTCGTCATCCCCATCTTTCGAAGAAGCGTTATTGTCAACTCAAACAGGTGTGTGCGTATCAGTTTCACTCTAATTAGTTTTGAAGTTCAAAGACATGTTCTTAACCCTTTAACTCTCATGAGTGACCAAGACGGAATTTCTCCTTTCAATATCAACACAGAATCAAGCAGACAAGTGAGGAGAATAAAGATAACATTTCAACTAGGGGACTACAAGTTGATCCAATACCAAATTCCCTAAATTGAAATCATAAGTATTTTAAGGCAGACTGTAGGGAGAATTACTTAATAACGAGATCTTGGGAGTTAAAGGGTTAATAGACTTAAATAAGCATAATTTTTTGTTCCAGTTACTTGTAATTTGGCTGACGTTCTGCAAGCAACCAATGTGCTGATCCAAGATTAGAGGACATCAAAGCTGCCAAAGCAGAATTGGTGGCACCAAACCACTACATTAAATGAAAGCTGGGCAGCATTTCAAGAGAGCTTGTTCAACACCATCATTTCTGGATGAAAAAAGCTGTATAAGTGACACTAGCTGCATGAAATACAGAAAGGATCCAGCTGTCATACATTTGTCTTGATTGCCACTTGCACACAAGATTGTGTGGACTTTGTAACCAGTCGGTTCACAACTTCCATCCATTTCACGATTGTGATGCTGTGAAGAGTGGTTTTCCAAGTCCAATTCCCCCAACTGTATCCACTGACAGTGATGGAGAGTGGATTTTTGTAGGTATGTGATATATATGAATTTTGGAGGTAATTGTTATATCCCGTTTGCTATGGTAAGAATCATGTAATTGATCCATTTCCTTGTGTGGCTAACTATTTCTGTGTTCTTGCATTTAGGTGGACATTTTAATGTTAAAAACTATTAGGACTATTGTTTAGTTATAAAATAATATAACATCATGATCTGCTTAATCCAAGTTTCTTTTTCTTGGATAATTTTCTGTCTTATTCTTCAAGCACCCAATCATCAAGTTGTACACAGAATGAATAAACCTTAATTTGCTTTTTTAAGCTTTTACATATCAATTCAAATTTAAGACTAACCCTAGGTTATGTCAACCCAGCTTTGAACAACACGGCCCTGATGGCTTAGGAGATACAAGTATTTCATCATTTCCTTACCATTCTATATGAAAGATTGCTATCCAATATTTGCAACACTGGAGATTCCATTTTTTTTTCTTTGGCTAAACTCTTCCTTTATGTTTTAAAATGGGAGAATGCTATTAATTGTTATGTCTTAGTTGTTAAGCACTACATGTGGCATTTCAGAGCATTTGTTTCCATTGTCTCAGTTTTCATTGACATGCCCTAGGTGTAACTGCAGCAATATCCAAACAGTTGGGAAACAAAACAGATGTATAGTAGTTACTTTCAGAGGTAAGATATTATGCTGTGTAATTTGTTGTAAGTGTTTCTCTTGTGGTTCAAATTCTTTTTGTTTCACTATTTTTTGAACCAGTTAAATTTATATTTTTGTCTGTTACCAAATTTAATCCCAAAACTTAACTGAAACCACAGCAAAATGTTCTGTGCAACTGTTATGTTCAATTACATGTACATTCTTTGCTAGGGCCCTAATAATTTATAAACCAGGTCATAGTATTTAATTGAAAGAGGACCTTGGAATGGAACTCAAAACTCTGTACTTATTACCTTTTCTCATGTAAATAGGACAGTTTGATGTTGGTCATGTATTGTTCCAATGCCTCCACTGTGAGAAAGACCTGCCAACTTATGACCCACTAGTTGTCACATAATCTGGGTTCCAGGAGGTATTAGTATGAGTTATGTGTTTGATCCTGAGGTGGTTTTACACTGGGACCTTTTCCAGAAGGAAAGTCCAGGGTCTTCAGAGAGGTCTTTTGAAAGGAAGGGTATATACAGTCCTAGACTGTTTGAAATTTTATATGACAATGATAGGTTATGTTCATCAAATATTATTAGGTTGAGGTACTTTGAAATTTTGGGAACTGGGTATGTGTTTACATTTATTAGAGTTATTTTTCTTACTTTAATCTTATGAATAATTTGAGAAGTCATTACTGGTAACTGAGGTCCCTCTGGCAATAAGTTAAGGAAGGAAGAAGGTTGAGCACACCTTGGACCTGCACAGCATATTTGTCTATTTTCATCAGTTTTATGGACTCAACACAGCATAACACATTATTAAATCAAAATATTCTCTAAATTGGTCTACCATATATCTCGAGTTCTTTGTTTCCATGCTTGGTATTTTTATTAGACTGTCTGTTGTGCACTCACAATTAAATTTTTGATTTTGTAACAATTAACTTCTAGATTGGAACAATAAACTGCAAAACATTTGGCACTGCCTTTAAGGAATGGAAGTTTTGCCAGTATAAGCTAGATGAAATTTGCCTCATGGACTGGATTAAGTGCCCACCCTGTGAAGAGAGCCAGCACTCAGTTCATGTGGATGGGAATAGGAAATTGTATTGTTTCAAATCAGCTGGAATGTTAGTACTATAAACTTATATATATATATTTATTTTTTTAATTATTTTATTTATTTAGGGTTCCAGTTCTCTCCTGGTGTGTTAAATTTCCTTGTTTCCTAAGATGATTAAAAACTTTATATATTTAGGTTCCTTGTAATCTTTAGGACCTTAAAATATCCTGGCTTGTAAAATACTGTGTTTGAGTTTGGCTTTTCTGTGTGTTCATCTCATTCATAATTCCCTGGAGTCTGTTTGATTTTGATGCTATAACTTTCATAATAGTTAATAAGAGGCTGGCATGATGAATGGAGAGATATCTGGCTATGCCCATTACTTGCAGACAGCTTATTGTATACCTAAAAGGGTACAGTTCCTTTTGTATGATATCATCTGCATGTATTGGCCTTGGCTGAAAAAACATGACAAGCAGTCAGTGGAGAACATGAAGCAGCTTTGTCTACTATGCATGCTAAAGTACATTCATGGTCTTTTTAGATACAGTGTGCCTCAGATGGTATTGAATTTTATTCTAGCTGTAAACATCAAAACACAATTACTTAAAGCCCAGTTGTCAGTTGAGTCTTTTTATCCTCATAACAATGAATAATGAGGCAAACCATAGCTGAGAAATATTTTTTCCCCCTTTTTTGTGTGTTGCTTTTCTGCCTCATGCTTATTGTTGCTGTGTGCATAAATAATCTACTGTCCTTCTGTATCATATGTTTTGATCAAACAATGGAAAATTATCTACATTTTGAGGAATACTGGGTAATGTTCAACTGCAGCTACAAAATTAAATAATTATGATTGTTTGTAGGTTATCTGAGGTGGCAGATGGCAGGCTGTGCTTCAGCAACCATTGGTGAGGAGGTGGAGCAAATAAAATTTATCGTCATTTTTCATGGCTTGGTACCAGTACAAAGCATATTCTGGAGGGCAATTTGTTTTAAGGATGAAAGGGCCTGGTAAGCATCAGTGTACATACTGCTTTGGGAAATGAGCTTAGTTCTTCCACAGTTAAGAAAAAAGAAAATAAATTAAAACTGTATTGACATGTCAACGTGTTGAGTTATGTGAGCTAATTAGAGACACCTATTTACCTGTCTAAAGTACTGGGACTATTCACAATGTAGAAAGAGAGTAGTGTAAGCATAGTTCACATGGTGCAAAGCTTGCAACTGGTAACTGGAACTGAATTTTTTATTTGTTTACTTGCTTCTCAAGGTGAGAAGAGTTGCTAACAGAGCATGCCCTCCAGTGGGACTGGAAAAAAATTGAAAAGCTTCCTCTCTCCTGGTTAAGCGATATTCTAAGGTTGGCTCAGAATCTCATAGATATCAATAAAAAGCACTTTAACCGTCTGTTAGCTCATAACCTAGTTGCATATTTTAACTTGTGTGATATTGTATTATTTGTATTACCATTATAAATGGTCATGTTTTTAGCACTTCTATAACTTGCAACTTTTAATATGTTATTTATTGCGTGAATAGATTGAATAGACAAATATTGAGTTGTTGTTGTTGTTTTGTTATCATTATTATCATTATTGTTATAATTATCATCATCAGCATAGGAAAGTGAATTATTGGCTTGCTTGTTTACTCTCTGAAGCACCAAGTCCAAATCATGGACCTTAGATGATCAGTGATGATGATGATGATGATGCTTATTATCATCATTATCATCATTATCATTATCATATATGAAGACAGGGAATAAGAAAAACATCATCCATCAGGATATTTTTGTTTGTATTGTTATTTTAAGAGGGCTGTGATTGAATTATTAAACTTTATTCACACAGACAAAGATTCAGCTTTCCAATGCCAAAGAGGAATTATTTTAGCATTTGAAAGAACTCCACATTCCAGTTGATGTAATAACTGTCTGGCAGAAGGAGATCTTCCATGCCGCCCAAGGTGAGATATCAGAGAACCGCCTTTTGAGAAATATTTTAATACTTACTGGTCGTGATGTAGCTTTACTGTTTTTCCAATAAAATCTGTTCACGAATTTGTGCATTGAAGCATATAATTAATATATGTAAATATGCATATATGTAAACATCCTTGTTTTTAATACAAAGGTTTATCAAATTCATCATTCTTAAGAAGAGCAGAAAAAAGAACTTGTCGGAAGGCTTTCCAGTTTTTCGTTAATTTGTCATTAATTTCCTGTATTCTTAGAAAGAGAATTCCCAGAAGTCTAGGAAAGTTGCTGTATCGAAGGAAGAAGAAGAGTTTTTTCTCAAAGTTGTCGGTGTGAAAATTGTAAATTTAACAGAAAAACACCAAAACCTGTGTAGGGTTGCTAAGCAGATGTATGGTCAGCATATGTACAACCAGATACTTTCAAGATGTGCTGATTCAAAGATGGGAAGGTACTTCTTCTGACGAAGGTGGCTAGGGGGAAATTATTCTGTTCGAGATTACTTCTTCTCGATTTCTCAGGTGATGTACAACATGGGAAAGCAAGGGGGTTAGAACTCTTGGAAAACCATCAAATTTCCGAAAATATGATTTTAGTCAGCCATTCATTAGTATAGTTAACGTTTTTAATTAAAAGTGACAGTAATCATCTACTTTGTGCCAATATCAGAGTGTGTTGACCTTTTAAAAGGAAACACACTTCTTGTCCCCTCCTTATTTTTTATGCAGACTCGTTAAAAACCACAATGAACGACTACAATCAACCAGAAAACTGCACTGAAGCTTTGATAGATGGCAACGTTTTGGTGCTGTTCCGTAGTTTACCCGTGAAGTCAAAACAAAATTGAAACCAACGAAAAGGCTCTACACTAAAAGCTGCTCTTTGTTGACACATTGCAGAAAAATTTTCAACTGATCGTATTCAGTTAGCACTTGGTCTTTTGTTAGCTTGTTCATTTCCATTGGGTGTCAGTCCACAGAACATTCAATACGCTAGAAGATCATTCACAATATACGGCGTAAACCTAAAGTGGGGATCAGTTTTTGGGGTAAATTCTCTCACTTTTTTTTCCTTGTTGTAGACATCCAGTGCTCTAACTTGGATGAAGGCGATACAAAAGCTGCAGAGCGTTCATCCGAGAAAGTGAGATGTGCTTTTTTGGATTTGCAGCTTCGGATGTTCGGCTATGTCACTTCGCGGATTTCCGAGAATCTTCGGTTATGATTTACGAGCTGTTAAATAGTCCATCTCAGTCCCTCTCGACCGAGGTGATTTTGGTGGATGGAATCTTATGCTGACCGGTGTGCGCACTCTGATTACGTTGCATCATGGGCGTAAAACGAAAAACGAGTCATTTACATCCTGTCGCGGTCCAGTGAACATCTCTGTTGGTAGCAAGATAGCGTGAATAAACGTGGAATGTAATGGTGATTCACTGTCTGTTGCCGTTTCTTCGAAAGTTAAATAGTGTTTGCGGGCCTACGCGACTCCTGTCATTCCTCCGTGACAAATTCGTTATTAGGAAGCAGCTGAGGAGATTCAGAAAGAATCGAAACTGCAGCCTTGCCCAAGAATCTATTCATCTCACAGCCGATGGCTTTGTGAATAATATCAAATTCGCGAGTTATATAACGGGGAATCGACCGTTGACTTGGAAACGTATTACAAAGAGACAGCGACCTTCTCTAATACACGAACCATTTTTTCGTGTCATATTCTCTAAGGCGTAAATACGGGATTCGCGAAAGGAAAAGCCTTACGCCTCCCAAGACCAAATTCGTTACGCTCAACGTTAATTAAAAACGTACAGAGTTTCAAACATGCTTAAAAAAGTGAGAATACCCAGAGTAAGGTTTTGAGAAACCTACCTCTAGCGATATTTTCTGCGGGAGAGACAGTATACTTGTAAACAAAAAAATAGCGCGCCCATATGAAAATATTACCTTCTGTAACACGATCTCACTCGGCTTTTCTAAACCTCAAGAGCATACCGATGAGGAAATGACACCTTAAAACTAACCCTTATTATCACATCGCAAACGAAAGACATTAAAAGATATCTTAATAACTTCCGGCTTACCCGGCGTGTCACCGTGTGTATTGGAGAGTTATTCATCAAGTGACTCCTTCTCTAATTCAACTGTCCTTCATTCAGTGATCAAGATAATAAATTTACCTTACAACGCTCGCGATTAGTTAATTTGCTTTTACTTTGGAAAGTAGATTTACAACACAATAGTAAGGGAAGGTACGTTTTTTCTTGAGGAGGAGGGGGGGGG